ATTTCATACAGAGCCCAGCTCTGAAAATCGATTCCTATAAATCACTTATAACATAAATAAATGAGATGAAAGTTTTCTTTGGTACATACAGCAGTACTAAAAAGAAAATTCCAAATCTGGCAGGGTTAACTTGTAGTAAGGAGAAAACTAACTTACTGCAATCATACTAGAGTTTATTCAGGTACTTTAAAAAAAATCTAATCACATTCTTGATTTTTAAAAGTCACGAACAGACATAATGATTACTGTCTGAAACATAACAATACGAATAGTCATGTTTATCTAACAAATAAGCCTGTCACTATCAGTGTAAATTTCCAGAAAATTTAAGAATGGGAATGCCACATTTAGCTAACTTAAGTCTGTAGTTTCAGGATTATTATGCTCTAAATGATGTTGATGATAAAGAATTCCACAAGCTTTTTGTTATCTATAAGCTGTAGAACGGCCAGTTAAAATAAGAAGCTAGATTGGACTATTGCCCTTGAATGAAGAATATGTCTCTTCCATCTTCAAAAATCTCCTTCCAGGTTAAAAAATAAGAGGTCCAGTTAATTATGGCGACTCTGAAAAAAGAATCTTCACAACTCAGCCAATCCTTATCTGTTTGTTTCATTTCTTTATTCACTGAAAATAATGCTGTTCGGGAAAACAGGTTTTGTAAAACATGGAAAACTTTTCTGAAAAAGAGTTGCAAGCCAAACATGCCATTGTTAGGAGCTAAGAAAAGAAGGGTCATCTTAGGAACTGAGAACAGACAGATCATCTTAGGAGTCATCAGAATATGAAGATAATCTTAAACTTATAAAAATGCCAAGTTAAAGATGTTAGCAAGGAGAAAAGGTTTGGATGGTTTCTCCACATGTCAAAACAAGTGTTTTCAGAGCCTACTTGATACCCAGTGGAGGACAAGCTTCTTACCAAATTTAGCTCTTCATTCTGTCTTACTGCTTCAGAATATGAATCATCAAGTTTTTTCTGCAATTCAGTCAACAGATCTTTCAGCTGCAATGAAGTTTAGAGTTTAAGATTGATCTCCTTATGATATCCCATGTTTGTATGCTACTTGGAAGCTCTGCCACAAACAACTTACACTGAAATATTTTATCACTGTTATAAACTGAATTTAAATTGAGAAGCAAGGTGGAAAAAATTCTATGTTAAGTACCTCTCTGACTTCTGTAACATAGGTGGATCGTTCAATTTCTGCCTTCTCTAGCTCCATTTCCAAGTGCTCTCGTTCTCTTCTCAGCTAGCAATGCAACAAAGAAGGAAAAGTTAGCAAACATATATAAGATGCTCCCCTGCAATGAAAAGTTACCACACTTATGAATATAAAACTATATATCATCTCAAACACCACCCAAGATATTCTTAAAAGCATAACAATCACATCATTAGATGAAATCTTAAAACACATTTCTTAAGACAACACTTGATGCTAAAAAAAAGTCCATAGGTTACATAGTCAAATGATGAGGTAACATACATTTTCAATATCTTTATTTTCTTTTCTTAATCGCTCTAGCTCTTGTTCTGAAGATGTGAATGACAACTGCATCTGAAATGTGAAACAATTACATGTCCAAGTCAAACCACCAAGGATACAGAGGATTTTCTAACTCATAGAATTTTAATCAGATGCTTCAGAGGTTTTAAAACGTATCTCACTTAAAGCCGTACTGAACTTTGAAAGACCTGAAAAGTGAGTGTCACATTTAACTTGATTTAAACTGTGGTCAAAACCTACCCTACTGAATAGATAAACAAGATTATACTGTATAGCACAGGGAAATATATACAAGATCTTATGGTAAGTCACAGCGAAAAATAATGTTACAATGAATATGTATATGTTCATGTATAGCTGAAAAATTGTGCTCTACACTGGAATTTGACACAACATCGTAAAATGACTATAACTCAAAAAAAATGTTAAAAAAACCCCACCCTATTTCCATGCTATTAATATTAGGCCTAGCTAAAGTGCTAATGTTTAAAAATAATCAACTGGTAATCAGTTGTATTTCATCCCCAAATGCATTAATGTAGAATACCATCAGCAACCCTAAATTCTGCACAGCCCAGGAAAACAAGTGAGCAACAGATGGCACTCTTTACCACACTCAAGTACTCCTACACCATTTTATATGAGCATCCAAGATACCAAATTTTGGCATCTGTGGAGACCAGGAACCAATCTCCCAATGGATATGGGGAGACAACTGTAAATGGAAGAAAAATTAAGACAGCACAATACCATTCTGGTTCCATGAAAAGAAAAAGGACTTACTAACTTTTTCTTGAACACGAGTCACATATCAATGTTTTAGAACTTTTAGAACTTATTTTGAACATCAAATTCTTTCCCTTATGTTATCACATAGTGGTTCTGTAACTTTCAAAGCACTTTATATTTTACATCATTATTCTTTAGTCATAACACTAAAACCAGTGATTCTTAAACTTGGGTGGGCATCAGAATCACTTAGGGGCAGGGGTCGGAGGTGGTGGTGGGGTGGGGTGGGGAGGGATGATGGGGTGGATCAAGAACGTATATTTCTAACAAGTTCCCAGATGATGCTGACACAGTTGGTCCAAGGCTCACATTGTGAGAACCACTGCTCTAAGGTTTTTGTTTTTGTTTTTTACAATTCACACATCCCTTTTATTTTCCCCCAAATTCTTCCTTTTTAAATACCTGTTTAATAATCTTTTGTGATTCATCAACCTTAACTTTCCATTTATTTTCTTCTTGCTCCACACTTCTCTGTAGCTTCTGTAAAATTCCTTCCTATGAACAAAAGCATAGTAGTTCCGAAAAATTAATTTTCTAATGCCAAGATAAACTATTCAAGCCATTAAAGATTAAATTAGTGATTTTTAATGTAGATTAAATATCATTTCCTACTGTTTCCGCAAGGACGGATTTGTATTTTTCACACTCTAGCTGTAACAATGTGTGCATTTCATCAGCTTCTTTCAACTTGTGCTCTAGAACCTGCAAAGAATGAAATTAAGAAAAATTCTCTAGTTTTACCAAAAAGTTCTATGCTTCAAATTTGTTTCAGTACTTAATGGTATATTATGACAAATGGTTCCTAACTGTTTTATCATGGAATTCTACATTTCAATCTTCTTAAGTGGCAATGAAGTTTGATGACCTTTTTGGTCATTTGGTTCTCCTAAGAAAACTCCCAAGAGACTGTTTACTACAAAATATATTATACAATTGTATAACAAATAGGTTTGTCACTCTTTAATAGAATAGTGAAATCAAAGCAGACTCACATGTAAAGTGAGGTCAAAATACCATGGGAAATGGGGTTTTATTCATGCCACTTGAGATACAAAAAAAAAAAGTTAATCTCCCAAATTTCAGTAGTCCAGGTTAAAAATGCATCTAGGCTCTGAACATTCCTAATGATATATCTGGGGATACATTAGCAAACCCATCAGTTTCCACCTACCTACCTCAACTGATCTTTACTTTCTAAACCCAGGCTAAAAAGAGAGTAAGAGATAGTTAAATATTCAGTTTTAGAAATGACTAAAATATAGAGTTGAAGAAATAGCAAACATTAGCTTTGTACAAAAATCAAACCCAAGGAAGACAAGATCATTTCCACCAAAATGTACACAAAATGAAATCACCTTCTTACACTTTCTCAAAAGATTATTCTACTCATAATATAGCCTTTACCTTTCCCAAGTTCATAAAGACATATCCTCACTTACTTCTTTTTTCTTTTTGTTTAAAATACAAATACTTCTCTTGAACTAACCTTAACCTCCTCTGAACCTGAAGTTCCAGCTACACATTCTTTTGCTTTCTTTTCAAATCCACGTAACCATTCACTATAACTCTGTGGAGAAGAAAAGTCAAAATAACCAATTTCCAAAAATACCTAAATGAAATAAGTAAAAAAATTTAAATAACCAAATTGGATAATTATAAAAGAAATCTACAAAGACAAACACCATTCCTCAGAAATTCCAAAGAAGAATATAATTGTCACATAAGTTAAACATAAACCAGCCTTGAAAATAAACACTAAAACACACCTATATACTACCATAAAAATCAAATCTTATTTACCCTGTCCAAGGATATTTGCACCTGAATTTTGGACATATCGGCAGAAGATCTGAGCTCAACACAGCCTTTACCACTTACTAGTGCTCGGGCTAACAGATCCAATCTTAAGACACAGAAAGCCTAGAATGAATAATTTTTCAAAAATTTTTTTCAGGTGAATCAGTTCTCAAAAATTCAGTTCATATACTAAAAGTTGAATTAAAGATACTCTAGTCAGAGGATTTCAGATTCTAGGAAGTTGTCCCAGGGATTCTGAAAATATTTCAAAGTAAATATGTCTTATGAAATATTTTTAAAATCATAATGAGAAATAAAAATACACAAATATTTGTGTTTAAAGCCAACAAAAACCATCTGTATTGAAAGTTAGCTGATGTAAACACAAGGCACTATTACAGTTTTAGTCATTATTCTATATTTTGGAATAAATTATTCAAGATTTTTGATGCTTCTTGTCTGAATTTTAAACTCTGATAAAGAGTATTCATTAGATACTTTAAAGCAAATTTCCTCTAATTCTTCTTAAGTCTTTGGTTTAGTTTAATCCAAGAAAAAAAATACATATGAAATTACTATTAACTGCTCTAATTAAAAGTTTTATTTATGTGGCTGAATCAGGATTTTCTATACTTCACCAGATAAAAATTTTTAAAAAATAAATAAAACTGTTTATCACACTATAGTACAATGCTCCATAGTACAAATTAGTACAAAGCCTCTATTTTAAAAAAATTCCCATATTATAAATGTGAATGAAGACTAAATGATACTATTAAAATCCTACTTAGCTTCATATATTGGAATTCAATATAAATTAAATTGAGCTGAAAAGTTGATTTAGTTGCTTAAAGTATGTAAACTCTTCTCCAGTCGAGGTCATACAGTTTAGATCTCACCTCTGCTAACTTTCTTAGTAAAAACCTTTTGGCTAAGATCAAGTGTAGTATCTGATCTTATCAGTTTAATATCTGATACGTCCTCTATCCGAAGACAATTCAGTAAATGGGTTTCTGGAGCAGGGAGTTGGAACAGGAGTTTGCTCCATCCACTCCAAGCACAGACCAAGTATTGCAGTATCTCCAGGAAGAGCACACCCCTCCAAAAGGGGAAAAATAACTATGTATTGAAGTATTTACAGATGAAATGCTCTGATGCTTGTCATCAGTCAGAAAGTGTAGGAAGTACAGGGCTAAAGGTAAAACAAGATTGTGTGGCAGTGCATGCCACATGTTGATGACTGCTGAAGTGGGGTACTGGGTATATCAGGCTCATTATGCTCTTTTCTCTACTTCTGGTTGTGTACACAATTTTCATTAAAAGAAAAAAATACCTGTACCACCATTTAGAAACTACATGTACACTCATTGGCATTCTCTGCCCTCAAATATTCACTATATTAAATTTCTGAACCAAAGCAACTTTTCTCTCCCATTTAAAACACATACAACCTCAAGTAAAGCAAGCTGTTCCTTATTATCGTCAAGACTTTTGTTTGAAGAAGTTAACAGATGACCAAGATCTTACATTTTCAAATGAAAAGACCTGGTTCGTGGTATTAAATACATTTAAAAATAGCATTACTAAAACTAACAAGCAATCACTTAAAATTAAGTTCTATTCTGAATATAGCCATTAAGGACATGATTGGTTTATTGATTTATTGATTTATTGAGAAATACTTCTTTCCCAAATATGAAGTTTATGATCCTCTAAATAATACTGCTCACATATAAAAACTTTATAGAATACAACCAAAATATCAGTTGAAGAAACAGAAATGATTTTGAACCAAGGCATTGATCTTAACTACTCAAAAGCACCCTAGGTTAAAAATAGGAAATACTGAGGAATTTGTGCACCACCAAAACCAAGTGGAGAGTGCCAATGCTGATTATTCACAACTTCCTTGAATAATGGAAAAGATGTTACATTCAAAAAAATAATAAATCCATCTTACCAAATTAGAAGGCACAGACACCTCTGGAAATAATTTTTTGAGAACTTCTTTAGCTTCTAACTCAACAGCTTCCACATGTTGTTGCCTTTCCTAAAGCAGAAGATGAACCAAATCAAACTTCCAAGATTACAGAATTAAAATTTTAAAAAGCTAGTCTTTTAAGCTCTATGGGAAGAAAAAGTCATAGTATTTACTGACAAATGTTCAAGTTTTCCAGTTTGAAATGTCAAAATGCTTCCATAAGGAAAAATCTGCAAAATCTCTATAGCACCCTAAATAAGAAATAATGTCTTACATTAATCAAACCAAGGCAATATCTGACAATATGGACATTTTCCTTGCCATTAGAAATCAACTGATGTCCCTCAGGGAACAATTCAAAAACAAACAAAAATAAAACAAAAACCTCCAAAATACATTTCTTATTAAAAACTTTAAACTACATGTACAAAAAAACAAAAAACACTTGCTACAACTAAGACAAACTCATGTAAAAAATATGCATCTGGGCAACATAACTGAGGCTCACTGGCTGGCAAATCTCTCCAAAACCTGTATCACCGATGTATGACTATACTACCATGGGATTAAAATGGCAATTTTCATATTTTTAGTTTCAAAGTCAGACGGAGCTACTTATGCTAAACAAAGAAAAAAATACCGCCAAAATTTGACAGGTGGTACATATGGGAAAGAAGAGTAAAGAGAAAGAGGAAAAGTTGATGGCATATTACTTCACCAATGTCATGCATAAAGAAAACTAATTCTGACACGTGTATATGGATTCTGTCAGCTGTAAATTTAAAAATAAGTATTACAAGTGCATATTAAATTTGGTCATTTTAAATCTATGTCTAATGGATATCAATTGCTAACTCAAAACCATGGTTTGTCAAAATTAGGGTAATGACTTGATCACACAAAAAATAAAAATCTAATATTCAAACCATCTCTACAAAATTAGAAGAAGAAAAAATAAACCTACAAAAATGCATATCTAAATGAAGCCAAGAAATCATCTCAAAACACTGGTGAAGTTCAACAGGTGACAAGAAAGCAAGCAAGCTAGCAAGATCTCAACCCTATCTTCCCCCATCAAATGTGATCTTTGAAATCTATTACAGATTTAAGATGTACATACTTCAGTTTAAGAAAGTCTAATAACATGAAAATCTAAAGTTATACAATGAGAAGCTAGAGATTAATCATATTCTGTACACACAAGATGCTGTTATTCAGGATACGTGGCAGGATTTTAAAAATAGATGTTTTAATGGAGTGTCTTCAATAATTCAATAAAGCCCACTATTTTTCAGGAATACAACCATTTAACTGCATAAAATAAGTATACTCATTTATGGGAAATAATTAACTGCTAATTCAGAGACAATTAGTAGGTCGTTTTTATCATAAGACCAGAGAAGTGGGCAAGTAATTGCTTCTCAATCTTTTGGCTAAGAGCAAGTGTAGAAGCAAGGTGAGCAATCTCTAAAGAAAATCAGTAAGGCAAACAGACACTGTGGAACAGAAACTTTTTCAACAATCCCCCAAGGAAAAAAGAATCTAACTAAAAGAAGTAAGTGCCTAATTTGTAACTAAGAGGCACAAAGATGTACTTAAAATTTTCAGGAAAAAAAATTTCATTTGACATAACAGTTTTGTTGTGCATAGCAATTTTCACTTAACACCTGGAAAAGATCTAATATTGAAAATTGCATTATTATAATTTCTTTACTATTTTAATCTAAGTTTAATATAATAAGTATGATGTATCTTTTATGTGAATCTGTCATTTAATATAATGAGCGTGATGTATCTTTTATGTGAATCTGTCATGTTTAGCTCCTCAAAAACATACTACTTACAGCATAACTTGTAGTCCTGGGTCAATCAACCTCACATTACACCTGTGCTATCTGAGGACTGTCTAAATTCCATTAAAATAGAGAAAGATCACAGATCTTGTTCTCTGTAGATCATCAGCTATGTAAGAAGTCATGCACTGGGTGATGAGTTCTGAAATATAAATTCTTATACTCATCACCAAACACAAGATGAAACAGATAAATTCTAGCTTTTGGAATACACAAGAATGCTTATGACAGGTGAATGTAACTTCTTGTAGGAATGGCACGATATTAAGAGTTTTAGCATGTTCCAGATAACCAGGCTCATTAACAAAATAAAAGCTAAAGCTAGTACTTAACAGTGAAAAAAACAAAGTTACAGAAAAAAACCAAAAACTATACCAGAACCCTCACTGCTGACAGAGCTGACTGCAAGGATTCACAATGAAATTAAAATGTCCCATCTGGCTTAGATTTTTCTATTCTCTGGCTTAGATTTCTCTAGTCCCAGTGTCTGCCAGCTGTCTCAAAGTAAAGTTTTAGTGAAAATTAGGGCTTGATAAATAAGCATATAAGTAAATACAAATCCACTAAAGGAAATATAACTACAAACATATACTTGATTTTTAAAAATTTATTAAAACTCTATTCTGCTTTAAAAACAAAAAAGTCCTTCAAGTGTCATTAAGACTTGCATTTAAAATTCAACATAATACCTTAGTACACAAAATACTTATAGAATGCTGAACTGAATAACATAATGAACTTTAACCCATATATAAAATTAAATAATTCTGTTCCACATTTATTCTTGGCAGGAATTTTCAAAATTCTTGACAGAACTGACACACCCATTTCTTCCAATCTTTGAAAACAACTTCTTCTCAATCACAATTCATTAGAAATCTTCAAACCCACGGAGCAACTTGAACTCAAGGAGAATATCTACGATGGTTTTAAAAACAGGTCAGGATATGTGTTTCAGGAGCAATTTACATACTCTTGTCAAGAGAATTATCTCTTATATTAATATCCCATACTAACCACAACACATACATTATTACTGTCCAGCCACTTCAAAACCTCGTTTAATTTTAATTCCAGCCTTTCTAAGGAACCATCCCCAAAAGCACACCCAGAACTGATCCCTTCCATGTAACTGTCATAGTGGCGTGCCTCATAGAACCCAGGAGAGGTCACTGTGCATCACAGGTACATCCTATGTAGTCAAATGTGTTTGTTAATTCAGTTAGTTTTTTTGGCTCCGGGTTTTCACCAAGTTTTCATAAAAAATCCAAGAGGCACACTTTGTCTGATAAGAGTTTACATGGGGAGCAGAGGTCTCCTGAGACTCTTCAACCTAAAGCAGTAATCACCAAAGCTCAATCAGGTAATCACAACAAAACAGCATGCCCAAAATTAAAGCTTCAAGGAGTAGATGAAAAAAGCAGAGATGATAGAGATGATAAATGTGGGTGATAAGAAGATTTTATATTTAAATTGCAGTAAAATTAAATGCTTTAGTCTGATTTTAAGACAAGCTGCAGATTTTCTCTGTTCAGTGGATTGTTTCTAGGAGTTAGCATTACAACCTTGGAAGTCTTGTTCACTTTGTCCTGCAGCATTTTTTCAGTTGATGCCAATGCTTCCATTGCTTCCCAGTTTTTCTCCCGAAGGTCCTAATCATTTTTAGAAAGAATGATTTCAGTTTATCCATTATTGAAAGATTTTTGCTTTTTACTTCATCAGTATTTTGCACTGCATTTAAATGCTGGTTACTGCAAAATTATTTCAATGGGAAAATATGTATATTAGCAAAAAATAAAAAGCCATGTTTAGAAGTCTGAATGAGAAAATAAAGATGCCCACTTCCCAAGATTTAGTATACACACCAAATATGCCAGCTTTAAAGTAATTACTATGCACATGTGACAAAGAAGAAAGCTTTCCAAAGTAAACACAAAAGCCAAGATTACAAATACGATTTAAGGTATACCAAATCATTAGCAGATTAAGGACAAAGCAAATACACAAGTATTACAAAAAGCTTCTACATGTGATTTTTAAACAAGCCCCAATATCACTTGTGGGATTTTCCACTGCAGGATAACATTTTTTTCTCTAAATATGTTTTATTGATTTAACACATTTCAAGTCTAACCAGAAATGACATATAATTCACTGTACTTCTCTATCTTTCTTGGCATGGTCAAATGTGCATAACAAACAGCAACCCAACATGAACTGTCTGAGCTACTTGAACAAGGCAAACAGGGAAGCTAGAAAGCTGTAAAA